CAAGGCGCTAGTGGCGAATTTGCCAATCTTGGTGTTCTCTGGCAAATGCCAAACGTCCTGCACGGTATTGGGCTGTAAGCACAACCCCCACCTGTGGATGTTGGGCCCTCATACCACCCTCATGGAGTCTGTTTCTGACTATTTGAGTAGACACATGCACATTTGTGGCCTGCTGGAGGTCATTTTGCAGGGCTCTGGCAGTGCTCCCCCTGTTCCTCCTTGCACAAAGGCTGAGGTAGCGGTCCTGCTGCTGGGTTATTGCCCTCCCACGGCCTCCTCCACGTCTCCTGATGTGCTGGCCTGTCTCCTGGTAGCGCCTCCATGCTCTGGACACTACGCTGACAGACTGTTGTCTGTATGTGTGACTGTAATTGTGTGTGTGTGTGACTGTATGCCTGTGTGTGACTATAACTTTGTGTATGTGACTGTCTGCCTGTGTGTGTGTGGCTGTAACTGTGTGTCTGTGTCTCTCTGCCTGTGTGTGAATATCTGCCTGTAACTGTGTATGTGACTGTCTGCATGTAAGTGTATGTGTGTATATGTGTGAGGCTGTAGGTGTGGCAGTATGTATTTGACTGTACGCCAGTACCTGTGTGTGTTTGTCATTGTCTGCCTGTACCTGTGTGTGTTAGCCATTGTCTGTCTGACACTGTGTGTGTGACTGCCTGCAACTGTGTGTGACTGTCTGTAACTCTGTGTGTGTTACTGTCTGCCTGTAATTGTGTGTGAGTGTGTCTGTCTGCCTGTAACTTTGTACGTGTGTGACTGCATGTACCTGTGTGTGGCTGCCTGATCCTGTGTATGGATCATACACAGACAACATACACATGACATTTTATCATAGTGAGATGTATTACAGTGGAGCTCTGGTATACAAAATGCACATTACTCTGTTTTTAATAGTTAGGTAGTTCTGTGATACACTAGTAGGCATATTACTGGGAGTTGTATCGTTGTGTAGTGTATGAGCTTGTCACAAAGCTCCACATTACTGGGAGTTGTATTTTTGTGTAGTGTATGAGCTTCTCACAGAGGTCCACATTACTGTGAGTTTTATTGTTGTGGAGTTCTGTGATAAAGTGGCACACACCACATAGTTCTATGAGTATTTATTGTTGTTGTGGAGCTCAATGACAAATGGATAAACAGTTCATTACTATGAGTTTTTAGTCCAAAGACGTCAACGTAAATAAGGACAATCCAGAGCTCCAAAGTAAAACAACTCACAGTATTATGTGACTTGCAGAGATTGTCCCTCTATAATGCTAAAGAGGCAGTCTGGCACCTCTTGCCTGCACTTCTGTTGGCTGCACAAGTAGCTGTCTTTCTAGCTCGGGCCAATCAGAGCATTGTGCAGATTACCACAGGAAAGCTCTGACACCGCAAGTGCCTAAGCATGCGACACAGTTACGCATAGTCTGCACCCAGTGGAAGGGCTGACCAGATTCCCAGTACAGTGGTTAACCAGAGGTCAGCTTGCCCCTCTCCGAACAAAGTTACAGCAGGAAAGGAGAAATGAATATATGTTTTTAGATCATTATTAAGTGAATAAATTACCTATTCAAACACTACACCCGTATACGCACACACTATACATCGATGAAGGGAGAGATGGGGGGAGGTGTGACGATTTTTACCCTGCATCCACTCTCAGCTCTGAGAATGACTTTAACTGCAGTGATTTGCAAATATTGCAGCTGCTATGAGACACTGTCAATCCAATTACCATAACTCTTAGTTCCTGGCTGACTACATAAATACTGTACAACTTGTACGCATGGCATCCACATGCTGCATGCACAAGTAGGCTCACTCTCTCTTCCTCCAAGTGACTCTAGCCTCAGCAGTGTGCATACATGTTTGGTGACTAACTTAAAGGGTACAATCAATCCTCACAGACCAGGGATAGGCAACCATAAGCACTCCGGATGTTGTGGACTGTATGTCTCCTTGCATCTTATTGCTGTAAGAGGATTATGGGAGATGTAGTCCATACCATCTGGAATACAAAAGGGCCAGGAAAGGGTATTGTGCATGTGTTTGGAGCCTGCTTGTGGGATTGCGTGTGTGTAGAGTGAGCCGATTGTGGTGTGGGGTTTTGTGTAAATAGGTTGGTTATAGTTGTGTTGTAATATGTGTGGCTAGGTGCTGTAGAGAGTGAGAACAAGAGTGTGTGTGTGTGTGTGTATAGGGTGCATAGTGTGTATAGGGGATGTAGCGAGTGTGTGCATTGGGGTTTATAGTATATTTATGTGTGGGTGATGTGTGTAGGGGGTGTAAAGAGTGGTATTTAGGGAATGTAGTGTGTTTGCTTATAGGGAATCTAGTGTGTGCACAGAGGATTCAGAGTGTCTATGCCAGAAATGAAGTCTAGTCTAGTGTGTGTGTGTGTGTGTGTGTGTGTGAAGGGTGCATTGTGGCAGTGTGTGTGTGAATGGTGAGGTGTGTGTGTGTATGTGTGACGGGTGAAATGTGTTTGTATGTGTGAAGGATGCAGTGTGTGTGAGTGAAAAGTGCAGTGTGTGTGTGTGAAGGGTGCAGTCATTGTGGGTGTGTATGTGAGGTGTTCAGTGTGTGTGAGAAGGATGCAGTGTGTGTTTGGAATGCAGTGTGTGAGAGAGGTGCAGTTAGAGAGTGTGTGTTTGAGGAGCAGTGTGTGTGTGAGGGGTAAAGGGTGTGTGTGTGTGTGTGTGTGAAGGGTGCAGTTAGAGTGTGTGTTTGGGGTGCAGTGTGTGTGTGAGGTGTGCAGTTAGAATGTGTGCGTGTGAGGGGTGCAGTTAGAGTGTGTGTGTGGGGGTACAGTTAGAGTGAGTGTGTGTGTTTGGGGTGCAGTGGGGGGAAGATTATATATATATATATATATATATATATATATTATTAAATAAATATATAGCTTATATACCCCATCCCTTCTTACCTTTCCCTGGGAGAGGGGACTTTGTTGCCAGGCCAGCCCTGGTGGTCCGGTGGGAAATCCATGGTGGCTACAGTGGTGAGTGAGCTCACAGCTCCTGGAGTTCACTCTCGCAAGATCACAGCATTCCCATGGCAACGCTCCGACCTTGCGAGAGAAACCTGGCGGAGCTGTGAGCTAATTGCTCCCGGGTCCTCCGCACTCTCCCTTCCTCCCGCCGGCTGTCTTGTAAAGTGCATGTGGGCCGGTGAGTGAGATCTTTGAGGCACACAGCAGGGCCGGCGTACCGATAGCGCGGGCTCTGTATGGGCCGGCAGAAGAGATCTCTTGATCTCCCTTGTCGGCCTTGGCCCATGGTCATCGAGGCCCACCTGGTATTTGCCCAGTATGCCCGATGGCCAGTCCGGGCCTGCTTACTCCTGCCATAGACCACATTGACATACTAGGTTAAACACAAGATAACATACAACAGACTAAAGGGTGCGCCTTAAAACAGATAATAAAATATATATATTAAAATATAAAATAATAATAAAATATAATATATAATAAAATATTAAGTAGTCCAGATAACTTATCATAAGTCCAAGATGATAAAATCCACGTGTAAAAGGAGGACTCTTGAGATATAAAATGAAGTAAGTCTTCACGGTTGTATACTTGAAATTCGGTGAAGCATATGCAAAAAAGAAAACAAGAACAGGACTCCAATGGTACAGTATATAGGTAAATTAAAGTTGTAAGGTAGTAATAATCAGTATTACTCACACTTTACAGAGCTAAAATCCATCTCTGGTATTGCGCGCGTTAAGTGGAATAATCCCCACTCAAGAATATATGAGGTAATACGTGATTGGCAGATACATGGCACGAGTTCAGCGTCCAATGTTGGTATTGTCCAACCCAACACAGTGAGGGAGTTTAAGCATGTGTGGGATAGGCATAGGGCTATTTTAGATATAAGACTAATGAAAGTATTTAGAAAATTGGGCAGACTAGATGGGCCAAACAGTTCTTATCTGCCGTCACATTCTATGTTTCCATGTTTCTGTTGATTTGTGGAATTTCATTCTGTGATGGAGGGCTCTGCCTGAAGCTGTAGGTAGCTTGTCTAAACCGCACAGTTCAGGATTTCTAAATGTGTTTTTATTTGATTCATTTTATTATTATTTCTATAATTTTGAACTCACAAATTTCTAAACTTTTGAACTTAAACTTTTAGTTGAAATGATGAGATATTTTTGAGATCAGCTATTTTTGTTTTACTTTTGCCATTCATGTTTTAATTTACGAGTTAAGAGTTTTGAGTATAATCTAGAAAGAATTCCTCACACATTTTTATATACATAGCTATACATTTTACTGAAGGGTAAACATTTAAAAGATTCATAGTTTCAGAGTAATTGCCTTTGGCAAGGAACACAATGAAGTTGTACGGAAATGTCACTTAACAAAAATTGAATCATATCCTGAGATACTAACATGTTTGTAATGAAATAAATAAAAGTTTTAACGCCTTCCTTACCAAATATAAATTTTTCTTAAAATAGAATAGTTTAGAGTTAAATTTTGTTTTGCAATACAGTATCAAATTTAACACAAGTATACACATTTTTGGAAGTGGGAAGGTTAAGTAGTGTGCTAGAACTTTAAGCATAAAAACAACATAATATATTTCTTTACTCTATCATTTGAAAGCCAGTGCACTTTAGCTGTGTTATTATTATAGAAACATAGAAACATAGAATGTGACGGCAGATGAGAACCGTTTGGCCCATCTAGTCTGCCCAATTTTCTAAATACTTTCATTAGTCCCTGGCCTTATCTTATAGTTAGGATAGCCTTATGCCTATCCCACGCATGCTTAAACTCCTTTACTGTGTTACCCTCTACCACTTCAGCTGGAAGGCTATTCCATGGATCCACTACCCTCTCAGTAAAATAACTCCTTGATATTATTTTTAAACCTTTGTCCCTCTAATTTAAGACTATGTCCTCTTGTTGTGGTAGTTTTTTCTTCTTTTAAATATAGTCTCCTCCTTTACTGTGTTGATTCCCTTTATGTATTTAAATGTTTCTTTCATATCCCCCCTGTCTCATCTTTCCTCCAAGCTATACATGTTAAGATCCTTTAACCTTTCCTGGTAAGTTTTATCCTGCAATCCATGAACCAGTTTAGTAGCCCTTCTCTGAACTCTCTCTAAGGTATCAATATCCTTCTGAAAATACGGTCTCCAGTACTGTGTACAATACTCCAAGTGAGGTCTCACCAGTGTTCTGTACAATGGCATGAGCACTTGCCTCTTTCTACTGCTAATATCTCTCCCTATACAACCAGGGAGATGTATTAGCAGTAGAAAGAGGGAAGTGTGCATGCCATTGTACAGATTGTTAAATTAAAAAGTAAAAAAAACCAAAACAAAAAAACAAACTAAAATTACATCCAGGAAAAGGACAAAAAGAAAGTTACACTAAAATGTTTTGTAGATGCTTCACTTCTGGCTGATCCAATTAACTAATTAAAGGTACTCTCCCAGCACATAACCACTATAGCAATCTGATCACTGTTCAAACCAGAAAAACAATGTAAATTTCTACATGCACTGTGGCTTTATGGTAAAGATTTTGCCACTCATGCATTGCAAACTGTGGAGGCTTCATATACATTTGTCATATTGGATATTTTTATTGCGATTATAAGGTCAGTCATGAACACGCCACTCAGTCTAAGGCTTGTTGGGTACGAAAGAAAACTAACGGACAAGATGGGCAATTAACAGTAAGAAAAGTGCAGTCAGTGAAGTTGATCATTATTACAAGGCCTTAATTAGTAAATTAATAATTCAACATATACATAAATTAAAGCATTTGTGAGAGTAATTAGCATAGTCATTTCATTTCTTAATTGTAATAATTCCTTTTGTCAGTGAAGTGAGCACAATCAAGTACATAATAATGTAATAAATATGCAGACATCATTTTTGGGTACTGGCCATTCCTAGCATAATCTTGGATTCAATTGAGTCACATGCTGTGGCTAACTGAAAATTTGTGAATTTTCAAACTGCAGGACTAGGGCCTTGACTCTGAGGACTGATCTCATTCTGATTTCAATCTGTTTTAATCTGTAACGATTATTGCTTCTGGTAACCATGTCAGATACCTATTGGCTCCATATTACCACTGCAGATTAATTATATTGCAGACTGTAAAGGTAATAAGGATTCTATCAGCAACATTTAAGGAACACTGTAATATTACAAATAAATATATTTAATACATTAGGATAAAGTGGTTATGGTGTTTAGAGGTTCCCTTTAAATTTGGACTCAGGATGTAAATCAAGCACATAGCCCATAAAGTGAGAATAACATTTTCCCATGCCTGTTACATATTGCAGCTAAATTCTCTTGTGATGTGTGACCTTGTGCACTTTGTGTTTGGCAACACTTGCCTGCAGATAGTCGGCGGAAATTCATTGTAAAAAACATAGGAAAGTGCAATCTTAATCCAACATTTTGTGGAAATGTCCATTGTATCTGTACTATAACCACTAGTTGTAGGAAGTTAGTGATATTAGCATGACACTAAATAGGATATTATCATTAATGAGGATTTCATGGTAAATATTACTTCATTGCACATTATCTTTTATGGAAACAAAATATATATAGGAATAAAATAATTTAAAAATTTAAGACACAAGAACATGGTAACATATTGTTTAAAAGCAGAATGAAAAACAAGGCAGATTTCTGATTCCATTGGTTTCTGTGGAAATGTTATTCCTTTTAGAATTGTGCATCACTTTTCTAATCACATTTGATAAATCTCCCACGATAAATCAAAGCAGGTTGACTTTGCCCACCTGTGTGGATAATTAAACAGAGGTAAGATAAATAATAAAATAAAATTAATGCATGGCCCTTGTTGACCTTATAATAGAGACCACCTAAACCGTTGTAATTTTTGTGTATATTCAGTGCTAAAAACTCTATTTCCTTCTTTTGTACAATATATAATTTGGTTTATCAAAACCAAACAAATTAATTTGCACTGATATGCATTTTTATTATTATGGAATGCAATCGTCTTTGTCATGTTCCTCAAACCATTCCTGACAAGTTTTTACAGTGTGGCAGGGTGCATTATCCTTCTGAAAAAAGCCACTGCCATCAAGGAACACCATTGCCATGAAGGGGTGTATGTGGTCTGCAACAATCTCTAGGTAGGTGGTACTTGTCAGCGGGACATCTACATGAATGCCAGGACCCAAGGTTTTCCAGTGAGCAGAGCATAAACAGGGCTATACATAGGACACAAGGTCATGTATTTAGGCTGGAAGAAAGGAGATTTCATCTAAGGCAATGAAAAGGTTTTTTTTTTACAGTAAGAGCAATAAGGATATAAAATTCTCTGCCTGAAGAGGTGGTTTTATCAGAGTCCATACAGATATTTAAACTGCAATTGGATAAATACTTGCAAAAACACAACATACAGGGATATCATGTCTAATTATTGGGGAAATAGCTACTTGATCCAAGGAGACATCTGACTGCTATTTTGGGGTCAAGAAGGATTTTTTTCCTAGTTTGGTGCAAAATTGGAAGCACTTCAGACTGTTTTTTTTGCCTTCTTTTGGATCAACAGCAAAAACATATGTGAGGAAGGCCGAACTTGATGGACGCAATCTCTTTTCAGCTATGTAACTATGTCACCAGTCAGGGCCGGTGCAAGGATTTCTGCCGCCCTATGCAAAGATCCATTTTGCCGCCTTCTCATGAATACAACTACATTCTCTCAAGGATTTATTCACTAAACTCTCAATTTAGGTGAATTCAAAATCAAATTGCAAAGTTTAAGCAAAAACAGCTGAACTGTGACTGTAGAAGAGTTAGAGAATTTTTCCAAAGTAGCTATTTTGGCCTAAGTTTGCCATTTGGTTTCCAATTAGGTCTGATCAGATGTCCCTTTCCTTTACAGTGCTCATTCCTACTCTTAATAAGTTCTTTCATTAGTGTTTATCCCCATCTTTATCCTGTTTCTTTTTTCAGAAGCTTGCAGTCTCTATGTTCATGATTTTGCTGCCTAATACATACATCTAACATACATCTATACACACATACTGGATAATACATACGCTCATGCTGCCTAATACATATACCCCTACACACATGCTGCCTAATGCATAGACCCATGCTGTCTAATTCGTGCATCCATACACACAAACTGTCCAATACATAAACACACATAATGTCACTTACTAAAATATACACACACAATGTCACTTACACCAGTTAACAGTCACACTTTATACACACAAACATACACAAATTAATAAGCCCCATTAAGGTCCATGTGAGAATGCCTGAGGTAGTAGTCTGGAGAGGGGAACTGTCCTCCAGGCTGCAGGTAGCTTTCCTTGTTTCTACTGGGGAAGCAGGAGAGCTATGCACTCAGAACACAGCCTGTTTCCTGCTCCCTCCAGAGTGTTTCTGTTGTTTACAGGCAGGGGGCAGTCCAGCTTCAGGTCAGTGCCCCAGGCGAATACCTTATTCACCTTATGGTAGCACCGGGCCTGCCACCAGTCTGCTTCCTTCTTCCTATAGTGCACCCTGCTGCCATCTATTCCCCAGACAAACAACACACACGCACCGGGCCATCCACCTTATCTTAAAGAAAACTTGACACATCGGAGCAGGCATGCTTCTTAAGATGCCAAAAGTTAAAAAGGAACTGTGATGTGTTCAGGGCCCATGCAAGGATTTTTGGGTACATAGGGGAAGATGCATTTTTCTGCCCCCTTCCCCCCTCCCACCCAAAAAACATCTTCACCTATGTGCCTCTTAATCAGCACCTCTCCCGTCCCCGTCCTTTAGTGGTCCCCTCCCTTCCCTGTCCCTTAGTGTTCTTCTCCCCCCCCCTCTTTTCCCTGTCCCATGGTGTTTCTCTCCCAATCCCTCCCTGTCCCTTGGTGCACCCCCCACCCCTTTAGTGGTCTCACTCCCCTTCCTGGTGTGCCTCCTACCTCTCTTCTAGCATTGCTGAGCGGAGCAGATCCCCTACAGGAGCTTCAGTTTTCTGTACCCGGCCGGACTGACAGGGAGTGCTCTCTCAGTGAGCACCTCATGTCAGTCTGGCTGGGTACAGGAAACAGAAGCTCCTGTACTGTGCTCTGCTCTGCCGCGCTACACTCAGTGGTGTATACATACTGACAGTCACACACTCAATGACAAACACACAGACGTCACTGACAGACACAGACTCATTGATCTGACACACACTCATTCATTGACACACACACTGATAGTCACACACAGACTCAATGACAAACATACTCTCACTGATTTGACAGACACACACAAACACACACTCATACACTCACAAACACACACTCATACACTGACAAACACACTCATCATACACTGACAGACACACTTATACAGTCAAATGCAAACAAATACACTCAAATACACAAACTCATACAATCACTCACAAACAAACACACACACTCACTCACAGTGGTATGATCAGAGGCGGCAAGGGAGCTCTAATCTCCCCGCTCTGCTCCCTCGCGGGATGTGTACTGATGCCGGGAGCCGGAATATGACGTCATATTCTGGATCCCGCGGCAGCAGCAAACAGCGTGCGAGGGAGCAGAGCGTGGAGATTAGAGCTCCCTCGCCGCTGATGATCATACCACTGCCGCACGCCGTGCCGGGGGTCCAGAAGATGGATTAGCAGGAGGGAGAGCTTCCCTCCTGCCGGTCACTGAAATCTTGCACCTCCAGAGCCGGTGCGCCCCAAGGCGGCCGCCTGTGCCGCCTTATGGACGCGCTGGCCCTGGATGTGATATAAAATATCTTCATAAATGTGAATCACTTACAATAAAATGTTACGAAATTGTAGAGAAGAGAAAATCCTGTTTTCACAAAGGAGATGTAATGTACCCAATTGGCAGGAAATTTTAAAACAATGATAAACTGCACACAGGGTAATATTGTACAGTTCCAAGAATGGAACAAAGGTGGTATTGTACTTACAATCTTACAAAGTATTTCCAGCTTGTCTCCTTCTAAAGGGTATAACTGTAGTTCTGATGTACTTTACTCTAGATACTCCTCCTTATACAGAGATATAGGAAACAGAAAAAAAGCAATAGTACAATACTACCCGCGTATAATACTTTAATATTACTCTTTTTCTGTGGGCATATCGATCTCCAACGTTTACGGTTTACAATAAAATAAAATAATTAAATAAATGAAACAAATAAATAAAACAAAGAGCAAA